GCTAATAATTTGGCTACGAGACTATTATTTCATTTGCTTTTATGACACAAGTTATTAAGCAAGTGCAATTCCCTTTTGTTTGCACAAACTTTGTTGATGACCGTGTGAAAAGCCAAGTTTCTAGAAGCTGGCCACCGGTGGACGGATAGTAGGCCCGGGGGCTGACGGCCGAGAGAGCGGTCCCGGGCCCGGGGTGTGGTCGCCTCTACTGTTTGACGTTTTCGTTGTTTGTCTCAGCTCGGCACGGCGGACGTCTTTGACGGCGTGAAGTTATTGGTACGACGGAACTATATTTCTCCAACGGACAAGGCGGCGAAGTACTGGGCCTCCAACAACAGGTCTGGACCAGAACGTGGAGAGAATTGAGTCGGGAGCAGGGACCAGAAGCGCCGGCCACTGGGCCAGTGTCGCTGGTGCAGTGGTCATGGTCCATCCATGCTGTGTCACTCAGTATTCGCTTTTGATTTTTGACTCGCCGCAGCCGGCCTTCGTCACGCGGATTCCGTCCGACGTCAGCCAGCCACGGTTCCTATGTACGCACGGCCCATTTCCTCCAGTCGAGGTGTCACCCATCCCAAAACGAGGCCGCACGTTTCTTCCGTCTGCCATCCTTCTTTCTCTTGGCTTGCTCGCAAAATATGGTGTCTGCAAGCCTCAAATAGGGATGTCAATAGGCACCGATTCGTGATTCCTCACAGGGAATTGAATTTTGATATTAAATTTGACTACATTTATATCAATCTCAATCCATATGTGTTGAAGTAAATATGAGATGTGGATGATGACTAGGCCTGAGCATTTTGCAGTCCAGGTTGAAAAAAAATGGTTATTTTAGGCCACCCATGATTGTCGCACTAGGTGAGTTAGACCTATTTTTTGGGCCAGGCTTAGGCTACGCCCACAGAATTATAGTGTAAAAAAACTAAAATAAATATTTCAGATCGAGCTTTGGACGATTTTTTTTTCTCTATAGCTAGCAAGATCTGTGCCAAGACCCTTCCCAGTGAGCAGGCTAAAATCCAGTGGGCTCGGGCTGAGCCGGCTCAAAATGCTCGGGTCTAATGATGACAGGAGGGCAGACAATTCTGTCTAATAGGGATTTAAATAGAGAAAAAGACATCCGGATGGAGTTGACGAGGACGGAGATGATTATCTGTCCGCGTCCTCGGTCCTACCCCATCTCTATATGTATTTGTTTGCGTAGTGTTTGTGCTAGAGTATTAATGATGAACTATATGTGTACATTGCAATTCATCAGTTGTGCACTTATGCTAAAAGTTATCACTTATTTCTATATTAAATTCGAACTGCCATCTATATTTCGTAATGTATCAATACAGGGACGAGAATTCTCGTGAGAGAGAGAGGATAGGGACCAAATCTCTCCACGATTTTTTTGTGGGGATGGGAACGATGATTTTTTCTCCTTTGTGGAGATGGAGATGGGGAGCCATTCCCTAACAGGGAATTCCCAGTTGCCATCCCTAATCTTAAAGCCCAACTACAATTGAACATGGCTAGGAGGCTACTTTCATTCGGTGAGATTAGGAGAGAAGAATGGCTTTTGATTTCATACATATGCTTGCCACCACCATGTAGCGTCAAGGGTAAGGACAAACGAAAAGGAGCAAGGCGACTTTAGGTGGTGCTGGTCTGTGGAATGTTATCATGGCCTACAGGCTAAAAAAAGCGTTTGCTGTGAAAGCATCTAGACCTTTGTTTAGATTTTGCTAATTAATAACAACACTTTCTAGACTAACATTTCATGTGAGAAATGAAAATGTAAAAGCTTGTCTACATAGAAGACATTGAGCAATATGAATGCCATGCATGGTGAAGATGGCGGAAAACATGTCAAGAAGACTTAAGGCAAAGGTATAAAATGGGGTTTGTTTTTGCCGGTCATGAGGTGATTAGAAAAGAGTAATCCTATATGCCACTCGGTTTTTACGGACGATCCCAACACCCGATTTTTTCTCTCTCCCAAACCAACGCAGCTTCAGCGCGGACTTCCTGTGGGGGAGCGACGCACCGCGAAGCTGCACGTGTCGCGGGACGCCGTGATGGCTAAGTGCCCAAACCTGTTCCCCGTGGCGGCGCGCGGCACGGAGGAGGGGCTCGACACGTCGGCGAGCAGTTGACGCGCACAGGAGCCGACATGTGCTGTGGGCGTGGGTGAACGAGTCCGACAGCCAGGCTGATGACGTCACGGGGCTAGTCCGGCCTATAGTCGTCCCCGCGGGCGCTATGATTGGACAGCGGTGGGAAGGAGCTGGTGGTCGCCTGCCGCCGCACCCAGGCCGGGCAACCGCATCGACTTTGCCGGTGTCGAGTCTGTGCGCCTCACGGAAGGGAAAGGAAGGGATAAGGTTGGGAGGGTGGGTCCCACGACAATTGGTGAGCAATTTGAAAAATTTTCTGAAATTTGTGAACAATTTGATATATATCTCTCTTATCTACGATCCATAGAAATAATTTGTAAATTCTAAAAATTTGGCATATATTTATATGAGATATGCAATCTCCCAAAATTACACTCTGTTCAATAAATTACTTTAAAAAAAAATCGTTATAAATATAGTAATAAGATTGTGTAAATATAGCTAAAAGACAATGTAAATGTATGAAAAAAAGGTGCCAGGAGCTTCTAAAATACTTAGTTGTTGGCTAGACAGACTCTTAGACTATGGCAAACTTCTAGCTAGCGCCCTGTTCGTTTGGCTGATAAGCCATGGCTAAAAATACTGTTGACTAATTTGTTGTGAGAGAAAAATATTGTTCATTAGCTGAAAAAGTATAGCTTATAAGCCAAGCAAACTGAACGTAGGTTCATAAGCTAGATAGTGGGGAACACATACCAGTTATCTAGTGCGGGGTTACCACGAACTAGACCATGTGTGCGGCAATGACTTCCTTGAGCTTGCTGTGCCTAAGCGTTTCGTTAACCAGCCTGTTCGTTTATTGGTTTTAATCAAGATTTATCAGTCATGGTATTATGTTTTTCTCTCGTAACAAACCAGTATCAGTCAGGTTTATCAATCTAAAAAACCAACCAGCTAACCGGCTGAATAAGGGGAAAGAAATTTATAAATTATACAGCAGATCACGCATCGGCTTGCTAGTTGCTAGAGCAGTGTAGGTCTTTGTGCATCTGCACGTGGAATCGAAGTACTAGTATCCTTAACGTACAGGAATTACATCTTTATTGTGCGCTTGCGAATGCAGATGCGATTTACACTTAAAAGCTGCATTTGCACTAGGAGACTGTTCTGTAGAGTAGGAGCATTATGCATAACATAAATGGCGCAAATAGCAATAGATACTTTTCGCACTAAACCTTGGAACATACTTTCTCCATCTAAAAAAGATGCAATTCTTATTTTCTAAGAAGTCCAACGATTTAAATTTGATCAAAGTTATATAAAAATATTAACATTAATGATACAAGATAAATACTATTAAATTAATGAAATATATTTTGTGGTAAACTAGTTTGAGACATAAATGTTAACTATTAAATGTAAGTTTAGTTAAAAGTTAAGCTAGTTTGACTTATATGAATCTTATAGTTGTAGTCCCTTCATTTTAAATTATAATACATTTTCTTTTTTTAGATACATTACTTTTACTATATCTAGACATAGTGTATATGTGAATACATAGCAAATTTATGAATTTATAAAAAAACAAAATGGGATGGAGGGATTATCTTTTCGGGTCGGAGGGATGAGTACATGCTCGGTACTTCACTTGAGGAGTACCTGACAGACAAACATACTAGTACACTGTAAAGAGGGTAGCATCAAGTTGTTGTGGCCATGGCTTTAGATTGGTTAGTAAATTGCTTGGAAAAGATGCCACGAACAAGAAAGGCCTTGGAGGTAGGGGTGACCCTGGAAGCACCTCTAAGAGGTTCTGTTCGGCTTACCTTAAATCCAGTGTGTTCGGTTTCTTTTTTCAGTCGGAACAGTATTTTTCTCTCACAACATTTCAGGCAGAACAGTATTTTTCAGCCAAGTTTCAGCGAGCCGACGGGGTTAGGTCCCGAAATTGAAGTGTCATGGATTGTATTTCGGTAACCTTTGCAAAAACATAGACACGTGCCACTATGCCAAAACTGCCAGACTTCAGATTTTCAGCGTGTGCAATTTCAGCCCAATAGGCCTACTACAGAAAGTAGGCCGGTTGGAGCATGCTGGAGTCTGATTCAGATAACGGGCACCTGGCAACAGCAATGAACGGTGTCGATCGATATTGTTTTTCTTTTATATGAAACACCAGCACGCGTAGCAATTTTGTGAGAAGTAGCCCGCCCGTGCAGTCAACAACATTTCTTTGCAAGTGATAATGTGGGTGAAAGTTGTATGGCACACGGCAGACCGGAGTGATCGACCAAACACAAGTATGCCTCATCTATGATGGGTATGGATGGATGTAGGCAGTTTCCTCAAGAAAATGACCATGATTGTGCGGCACCATAGAGAAAGTGTTTCCATCGCTATCTCCGCACCTCCATTGACAATGACTACATTATAAAATTCTCTCTATCTTAAAGGAAACAAGTCTACTGTTTTTTGAGGTTTGTATGTTTATAATAGCATTACAGAGAATGACATCTGCAGGCGTCATCGTATTCTAACAATTCAACAATCCCATGGCTTTCAAATCAAGGTTGTAAAAGGAAAAGAAAAGGCAGTAAACTCTGTGGTCTATTTCTGATAAGTAACTAGCAGAACACTGTTGCAGTCATGTCATTGTATGAAATCAGCACAGCGATGCAGCAAACTGAAACGAAAGCATCTCTTTCTGTTCTGTGTGTCAACCTCTCTCCCTATCCCAACCATTCACAATCACACCACCCCTTGTCATGCATCAGATTAATCAATCAACAAGAGTCTAACCAACTGAATGTCTATCCTAATCAATCCCAAGAAGACAAACCCCAAGCAAGCCAAGAAGTGAAAAAATGGCGATAGAAAGTCCCTAACGGCATGTACAGGTTAAGTGCTCTTGGAAAAGCCCCTGAATCCTTGGATCAGCAGGCAGAACCCCTGCCCCGACGCCGCCCCACCTCCTCCCGCCGCCTTATGTCGCCGACCGCTCGGCGTCACCGGCAGCTTGTCCGCCGCCTCCTCGCCGTCGGCGGCGAAGCAATCGTCGTCCGTCCACAGCTTTGTCTCCGACGCGCCGCGCGCCTGGAACGTGAACACGGCGCAGGAGGAGGAGGAAGAGGAAGAGGAAGAGGAGGAGGAGGAGGACGACGGGTGGGGCAACTCGGCGCCCGCCGCGTGGAAGAGCCAGCCGTGCAGGTCCCACGTCATGTCGACCGGCGCGCCGCCATCGAGGAAGATGGTGTGGCTGCCGCGGAAGTTCCACCGCAGCCGGCGGAGCTGCACCACCTTGCGGCCGTCCACGGTGACCCACGCCTCGGCGTCGCCGTCGCGCAAAACGACGCCGATGTCGTGCTCGTCGCCGGACTCCAAGAACCGGGCTTTCGTGGACCAGCAGCCGCACCCGACGAACCGCTCCCGGCGCCGCGCCATACGCGACGCCGCGATCGGTATCCCGCCGTGCAGGCGGTCGACGTACCCGCGGCTGAGGTCGCCCAGCAGGAGCACGAACTCGGCGTCGGCGACCACGGCGACGTAGAACCCGGAGGTCGGCTCGGGCCCCGCGCCAGCGCCGGGGGCGGCGTACCGCGCCGCGGCGTAGTCCCAGAACACGCCCACCACGCAGCTGCCCGCCGTGAACGTCCTGCTCCCCTTGTTCTTGTGCAGGTGCCGCGGCGCCGCGTCGCCGTTGCCGCTGGCGCGAAGATGGCGTGAGGCGGCGGCGGTCGCCTCGTGGACGGCGACGGAGAGCGCGGGCCCGTCGGGCGCCCGAGACCACGTGACGTCGATGAGCAGCTCCTTCCCGGACGCCGAGAGCCGCGACCGGTACGCGGTGGTCACCGCGCTCACCGCCGGCGCCCCCCGCCCTCCTCCTCCTCCCCCGCCGGTGCCGGCCTCCGCGGAGGCGCCCGCCGCCGCATTGGCGGCGCCGGAGCCGGAGCAGGCGGCGACGTCGGAGATCCGCACGGCGTGCTCGCTGAAGCACGACACCAGGTCCTTCATACCTCGCTCGATCTTCCTTCCTTCTCTCCGGCCGGTCCTCTTCTTGGACGGACGCGCCGCTCCCCCACCCTGGAATTCTTGGGCCGGTTGCCTACCACTCACCACGGGGCCGAGGGACGGGATGGCTTTGCGGACAGCAACGGCAGCAGCAGCGGCATTATGCTGAATTGGTGATGGCGACGGGCATTAGAGGAGAAGAGAAGCGAGTGGTTCGGTAATCGCAGGAGAAAGGTATCTCTTAACTGGGAAGCCTGCCAGGCAATAGGCTGGGGCTTACAAGGTAGGTATCTCTATCGCTCTCATCCCCAAGGCCTCGTTTAGATGCCATCCAAATTCTAAGTTTTTTCACTCTCTCTTCATCATATTAATTTTTAGCCGCTTGCATGGAATATTAAATGTAGGTAAAAAAATAATTAATTACACAGTTTAGTTGAAAATCACGAGATGAATCTTTTGAGCCTAGTTGGTCCACGATTGAACAATATTTATCAAATAAGACGAAAATGACACTATTCATCGGGTTCACTTTTTTTTTTGCAATCTAAACAAGGCGCAAGTCATCGCTTCTGTTCTGTTACCACTGCTGGCCCACCACAGCTAGCCTAACAGTTTCCTCCCGCCGTGCTCCTTCAAGGCTTCAATCACACCAGTGGGACCGACGGGAGCACAAAATGCCTGTGTCAGCAGCCGAGGCAAATCTCGGTTTCGGCTCTGGTGCTAGGTGTGTTTCTTCCCTTCCTGAACTTCAGTCCACGTCACATCAAATGTTTGATAATATAGATTAATTACAAAATTAAATACATAGATTGAGACTAATTTGCGAGACGAATTTTTTAAACCTAATTAGTCTATGATTCGACAATGTGGTGCTACAATAAACATGTACTGCTAACGGATTAATTAGGTTTCATAAATTCGTCTCCCAAATTACAAAGAACTTTATAATTTATTTTATTATTATTATTCAAACGCTCGACATGACACCCAAAGCTCTGCTCCTACCCTTTCTGCCTTTTCCTTCCGCGCCTTGTTTAGATGCCATCCAAATTCTAAGTTTTTTCACTCTTTCTTCATCACATTAATTTTTAGCCGCTTGCATGAAGTATTAAATGTAGGTAAAAAAAATAACTAATTACACAGTTTTGTTGGAAATCACGAGATAAATCTTTTGAGCCTAGTTGGTCCACGATTGGACAATATTTGCCAAATAAGACGAAAGTGGTACTATTTATCGGGTTCACTTTTTTTTTTTTAGTGAACGAGGCCCCGGTTCCGTGCTTTGTTGTAAACTGTCGGATGCGAGTGCGAGCAACGGAGGAGTCGCGGGGAAGGGAAACGCGTTTCTTTCTCTACTGTGCTGCGCTTTAACAAATGCGCCCACTGAAACTTCCCAGACGAAACGGGCGGCGGCACCTGCGGCCACAAAAGGAAGCCCTGGCACGAGGCCGTGGCTCTAGGCCGAGGTAGACCACTGGGCCACGTCCATGCACCACGTACGTACGGAGTACGTGGCACGGAATGAATGTATAATGAATACTACTGAGTGGGTACGAAACGTCTAGAGTACACTACTCGTGGGAACCGTTGGATTAGAAGTCGACATCTCGGATCTTCCCCCCTGGCAGTGACCTGTCAGGCTGCAGCTGATGCGTTTGCCGTTTGCGTTGCAAGCGTTACGAAGCGTACGTACCGCTGCCGTGTTGACGTCGCAGATTTGATCATCCTGCCGCTGACAGGTATTGCAATTTGCATCAACAAACTTTGTGCATACCGAGTGAAATAGGTCTAGTTTAGATTGAAAAAAATTTCAACCCGATAAATAGTAGCACTTTCGTCTTATTTGGTAAATATTGTCCAATCGTGGATCACTAAGCTCAAAAGATTCATCTCGTGATTTCCAACTAAACTGTGCAATTAGTTATTTTTTATTCACGAGGATGCTATGTAACAAGGCAAAAAATTGATTAACACGAGGATGCTACGAAATTCATTCGTCGTTCCGGATGCATGTAGCACGACTACACGAGGTACAAACGCTGGACACCGCACATGATGCAAGTCTAGGAGCACCGAGCGCCCGTGGGTTCCCTGACCGCAAATCAGAGCCGGAGACCCCTGCTCGGCAGCTCCGAAAGTGAAAAGTCCAAAGCTGCCAGCCCAGCCGGGACCGCCGCAGCAGTGAACCTGCACGGCCGACACGTCTCGGCCCCCCGCCAAACCGTCGCGGCGGCGCCCGGGGCATGGCGCGCGCAGCCGTTTCGCGTCCCCCCGCGAACCTTAACTACCCCTCTCGTCGTCGTCGGTTCGTCACTTCGTCCCTTTCCGTACCGCCGTGCGCACGGACGGTATCGCCCACAGGAGGTTTTCAGCGCCGAACCTTCCGTTTCCCCGCCAGACGGATCGCGCATGTGCGCCCGGTTAATGAATCGGGAACTGTGCTCTGCTGCAGATCTCGTCTCGTCGCGCGCGCCGCCCCGGCGCCCCGCTCGAGATGCGTTGCACTGTACTAGTAATTGAAGTCGGGAGCGGCGCTGTTGCCTGTGGCCAAGGGAACAGGGGGCCGCTTATTATTATCTCCAGCCGGTGGCCAATGGCCCATCGCGTCGTGCGCGCGCGCGCGCCCACGGCCGCTGTACTTTCGCCGCGCCGAGGACGCCATCCGCGCTCTGCGGGGTGGTGGGTGCGCTGCGTGGCGTGGGTCAGCCAGCCGAACCGCCGATGCGTCACCCCGATCGAAGCTGAAAACTGCTGCGCGGCGTTGATGCATGCCGCTTGCAGCTCAAAGTTTTATTGGATGGCGGTTTGGCCTTGTTCGGTCTGGGCCATTGAATTCCCGATACGAAACGTACGTGCAGGGCTTTCAGTGCGACGAGCGTTTGCGTTGCGCCGAAGATGGGCAGCCTCGTTGCTGTCTTTCCACTGCAAGTCTACAGGCGCTCACAAGGCAAGGACTAGATACACCCAAGACCCAATCGGGAGCACCAGTACTGCAAATAAAAAGCGTGCACGTTTGGCGAGTCGCTGCACGAGCGAGGAGGTAAGCTAAGCATTCTCAGTCTCAGATGGGAATGACCTGGATCCTGCCTTCCGTCGCAACCGAGAAGAGATGCTCGTTTTGGCATTCCTCCATTTCGCTGTGCACGCCGGCCGCCGCCCAACGAAAGAAAGAGCGTGGGGTGGTTGGCCGGCAGGCACGCCCTACTTTCTCCTGCCGAAGCATGAACCCTGCACGCATCGGCTTTGCCTACCTGCGCTGGTAGAGGTAGAGCCGTAGTAAAAAACGAAACGCCCTTTGCGCCGAACCATGTGATGTGACCGACGACGCGGCCGGGATGGGGCGTTGGAGCACGCGAGATTGATGCGTCATGTCATGCGTCATGTCACAGGAAATTATGATACCAACTCATATACGTAGCAATTGTTGCAGAGAACATGCAGTACGTCATACTTCTTCTGTCCTACTATAATAGTATACTAAGTACTTCGCTATTGCCTTTTCCCTCTGCGAGCGATCTACTAACATAATCGTTGACTAATGACTACAGAGGGCAGGGTAATTAGAAAGTCTGCACTCGCGAACAGAGTCAGCTGCACGTTCTTGTCTGCATCTGCATAGCCAAATTAGCCATTGGAGCACATAGAGTTTGCTTGCAGGGCATGTGCCGGCCCATGGCCTTGAGGAGTCAATAATCAATCGGAGGGACAGGTAAGAGATGATACTACGTAGTACACGTACTTAATGACAAGCAGTTGCGTGTGAGAAAATGTAGACGAACAAGTACGTTGTATTGAAGCAGGCGTACGTATAGAAGTGGAAGGGAAATTTGTGCAAAGAACCTTCCTGGGATCGGGCCGCATGGCCATGGCCATCGCCCATCGGCACGCGCGTCCAGTTAGCCAAACCGCGCATGTTCCGACGGCTGGTTCTGATGCCATGAGGCGCCGCCGACGCATGTGCGGCAAGCAAAGGCTGCGCTAAACTTTTGGCGAGAGGAGAGGAAAAACACTGCGCTGCTGCCTGGGTGATTGCGGCATGCCACGTATAATATTGCCACACAGGTTCGCGGACGAAAAACAAACAGAGGCTCCTCAAGCTGGATATCTACAGACTGCCATGGTCAATTTTGGTCACTATTCGCAAAACGAACAGGGCCTTGTTATCAGCATCTATGTTTGACGGCGCAACTTGATGGATCAAGCGTTGGAGATGCTTAATCTGATCTTGCAGTATATCCAATATATTTGAACATCAACTGTGGATTAACCATAGAAACCTTGAAATAAGACGACGAAGAACTATCAGGTTGTTTCCGGAAATAGACGACGAAGAACTATCAGGTTGTTTCGTAGGAGTATATAGAAATTTGCAGCCAACGCTGTGCTTTGGAAGATGCCACTATGCTACGAAATGGTGCTACTGCACTGTTGATTTGCACAGGATGCGTAGATGTCGGCATGCCGCTGCCATAGCACACGATGACGGTGACTTTGCAGGGAGCAGCCAAACACAAGTAGGCCAGCCCCCTCTGGCTGCACACTTGCACAAATGAGCCCATCACATGCAATGCTACAGTACAGTGTGTAAGCATAGCCTTTGTTGGCTCCGTTCTAAATGGTAAATTGTTGACATGTGCACATAATGTATCTAGTTTAAAGATACTGCACCGTGCTAGTGCCTCAAGAGATTTCTCCTTTACATGTTGGTGGCGTGTAATTAATCAGGTTTAAAGATACAGCTCTGTTGGTGTGTTCAGTGTTCACGAGTGCTTCACAAAGAAATTGTGGGCTGTGGCCGTCCTTTCCGAAAAAAAAAGTAGGGGGAATCAGAAGTCGAGACGAAGTAAATATGTTGGGCTTATAGTGACTTGGGCTAAATCAATAGCTGCAGGAATATAGCAGTCAGTAGCTAGCCCACCAGCTCAGCTTTCACAACTATATCTGTTCCTAACGAGAGGGTTGCGAGTTTGTGTGGTCTCTCGCGGTTTGCATCCTGAACAAGA